ATATATATACACACACACATACATTGACTATCGGTAGAAAGGAAGACAGGCTGTTGATTTTTAATTTTTTTTTTTAGTCAACTGACATGTAAAGACATTCATATCTTTACATTTCATCTTTGAAATCCTAAACAGCTAAATCCACAGGTATTCCTTCGGCTGTAGGGGTCATTCAATTGCTGACAGATTAAGTATTTCCTGCCCTTCTGGGGGTTTGTGTCCTGTCTTCCAAAAAATCACTGGAGACAGGGGTGTTCACCCACCAAGTTGCAATCAGTTCAAAGCTCTGTATTCTTGTCTAACCTAGCCAGTCACCCTCATTCTCCAGGCAAAGGAAGAGCCTACAGAGTGAGTTTCATATGATCTAGCTTTGACATCTCCTCAGGGCGGATGATGCTCTGGACATCTTTCTTCACTACCTATAGATGGACCTCAGAGGGTTTTCTTACAGTAGCTACTTAGACGCTACTGAGACGAATCCTACTCTTACTGTCCAGAAAACTCACTAACAACAGCTTATTTGATGCTCTGCATCAAGTTTTGCTGATTAAAAAGGGTTGCACTCTAGGAAAAGATGTAAAATGTAAATCCTATGTCTATTCTAAGGTGAGGAAAAGGAAAACTGGTATTAAGCCACTAGCATACAGTAAAACACTTTGTTTCTTCTGCTCATGAACGTAACTGGCCTTGAACTTTTTTATGTGATAAGTATCAGTGTTACTATTTAGATAGGAGAAGGATGTGTTGGGGAAGGAGAGTAGGAGGGAAACAAACTTCAGAAGTAAAGAAGTTCCTTATTTTTCACGTAAAAATTCCCACTCTTAAACCCAAATACCTTCCTTTCAGTCTCAAATTATTACAAGTGCTTTGAAGAAGCACATATGTACCCATGGCATAAATTTAGCATCAAGTAACAGCTTGGGTAAGAAGAAAGCCAAGATAATTTCTCTTTAAAAAGAGTAAAGCAATATTATATGCAGAAAACAAGTTAAGTGAAGATTCTGAATACTGTAAGAGATAATATATTCAGGGAAAATATACCTGGGAGAGATTAACCTATCCATGGCTCTGTATCTTAACCAACTAGTACATTTGATTACTTCCAAAAGCCTTACCAACAAACCACCTGAAAGCACTTGAAAAGACTGTGTTGGAACACAGGTATAGAAGGTTCAGTAATGTCCTGGAGTAAGGTCAAGGGACCTGCACGAGAGATTCAGTTTTTGGGAATAAAATGGCAAGATGGATGTCTCTAGATCCCCACAGATGTAATCAACAAGATAACAGCAATGTCTCCACCAACTCACAAGAAAGAAACACAAGCTTTCTTAGGTGGTGTGGGGTTCTGGAGAACGCACATCCCAAATTACAGTCTGATTGTAAGCCCTCTCTATCACGTGATGCGGAAGAAGAATGATTTCAAATGGGGCCCTGAGCAGCAACAAGCCTTTGAACAAATTAAACGAGAAATAGTTCATGCAGTAGCCCTTGGACCAGTGCGGACCGGGCCAGATGTGAAAAATGTGCTCTACACCACAGCCGGGGAGAATGGTCCTACCTGGAGCCTCTGGCAGAAAGCTCCAGGGGAGACTCGAGCTCGACCCCTCAGCTTTTGGAGCTGAGGATACACAGGATCCAAGGCCAGCTACACTCCCACTGAAAAAGAGATATTGGCAGCCTATGAAGGGGTTTGAGCTGCTTCAGAAGTGATTGGCACTGAAGCACAGCTCCTCCTGACACTCCAGTTGCCTGTGCTGGGCTGGATGTTCACAGGTAGGGTCTCCTCTACACATCATGCAACCAATGCTACATGGAGTAAGCACGCCACACTAATGGCACAACGAGCTCGAATAGGAAAACCCAGTCATCCAGGAATTCTAGAAGTCATTACGGACTGGC